CTAACACACTCAAGAGGATTGTGCTTACAACTATAACATGTGAGAAGGGAGGAGACTCAGTGGGATGTGCTCTGAAGGACTCTCTGTCAACTGTGATCCTCAGCAGTAATGTATTGCCACAACTGCCAAATGTCCCAGAGGCAATGTGATGAGAGCAGCTAGCAGCCCAGACTCAGAATCTCTGGGATATAAGGCAATTAGGGAAGGACAAGGACAATAAAAACATTGGGGTCAAAAATGCAGTGTAAGAGAGGTTTTATTGCAGGTCCAGGGGAGGAGGAGGGAGATGGCAGAAGGGCAGCATCTGGCCAGAGGCTGCTCTTGTCTCCGTGCAGAGGCCAGAAGGACAGGAGCAGGCAGCCGGTGCTGGGCTGTGTCATGATATGAGAGTGGGTCTTGAAGCAAAGATCAAATACAGCAGAGGAAGACGGAGGTGTTCCCCAAGCAGGCATGAGATGTCCAATCAACAGAGACCTGTAATTCCAAAGGGGAGCCCTTTCTCACGGCATCAGGTGGGGATGTGCTGGGTCTTGTGCAGAGCTCTCCTTCGACCATAGGCAGAGGCAGCGCTGTGCTTAGCAGGGCCCGCAGCTGCTGCTGAGGTAACCAAGACCACGGCGAAAGCCACCATATCCGCAGCTGCCAAAGCCTCCATAGCCCCCAAAGCCTCCAAGGCCATAAGAGCCTCCATAGCCCCCAAAGCCTCCATAGCCTCCCAGGCCTCCATAGCCCCCAAAGCCGGCACTACGTCCAAAGGTGCCACCCAAGCCCGATCCAATGGCAGGGACTCCTGCTGAGCCAACCACAGCGTTCTGTGGGAAGGAGCTGAGGATGGGCCCGGGGAAGGTGACCACGGTGGCCGGGGGTTGGATCACCACGGTGGAGTCGGGGCACTGGCGCACGCAGGGCTCATTGCAGCTGTCAGCCAGTGGGGCCGGGGCGGCCACACCGCAGGCAGGAGCACACAGGCTGGAGCAGGACATCTTCCACACAGTCAAGGAGTCCTGCAAAGGGACCCACAGAAAGGAAAGTGTTGGGGAGACCCATATGAATGGAGGCAGGGAGAGAGCCCTGAGAAGCTTCCAAGAGCTGCACTTACCAGGAGCTGAAGGGAGTCAGTTGGAGGAAGCTGGATAGAGGACTGCAGAAGCCCTCAGCTCTTTTATACCTATCCCAGACAGCCTGGGGCATAGATGGGATGTCATTGGTGGCAGAAGTCCCAGAAAATCTTTAGATAAAGTTAACACGCTTCATGACACTTGAGGAATGAGGCAGAGCAATTAAGTCCTTCTTCAACGGAGATATTGGGTTGTAAGGATGCCCTGGAGAAGAAGAAGCTGATGAGATGGACAGGTGATTACAAGCAATTACATGAAAGACAGACCACGCGCAGCTGATGCTGACCTCACAACACCTATAAATCCCAATGTGTTCTTAATCCCAAACTTCATCTATGAGAAAGACTCACAGGTATCCTGCAGACAAAGCACTTTGCAATCCTGCTCACAGACACAATGTCTATCATTACCTTCATTACCACTGTTTTATGGGCTGGTAAACTTTGGACAAAGCGATGAAATGATCCCACCTTCCTGGGACAGCTCCCAAACAACTGCCACCACCCTTCAGTGGCAAACAGTGGGATGCAATTGGGTTGGGAAGTCAGTGCATCTCTGATTTATGGGCAGTTCCCTGCCCAGTGGAGCATAGGGCATTTCTGACTTGCCAGCCAAGGGTACGTCTATAGCTATGATGTCTTTGTTTGTGAATGCTAATCTGCCAAGGCATTAGGAACCCATTGGGGGGTAATTTGTTCAAAACACATCAGCAAGAGCAACACCTTCTCTTTGAAGTTATTGTGTATAGCCATGTCACCATCTCATCCCCTTGCTGTTCTCCAAGGCATGTTTTTGTCTCAGTGTACCCAATGGGAAAGGAAATAATTGCTCTGCATCTTTTCCTGTGAGTCATGATGCGTATTTGGTTTATTTCATGATTATTGGGACCTTCTGCCACCACTACCCTCTCATGTATGCCTCAGGCTGTCTGGGATGGGTATAAAAGAGCTGAGCACTTTGCAGTCCTCTATCCAGCTTCCTCCAACTGACTCCCTTCAGCTCCTGGGTAAGTGCAGCTCTCTGAGGCTTCTCAGGGCTCTCTCCCTGCTTCTCCATCCATACAGGTCTCCCCAACACTTCCCTTACTTTGGGTTCCCTTTGCAGGACTCCTTGATTGTGTGAAAGATGTCCTGCTCCAGCCTGTGTGCCCCTGCCTGCGGTGTGGCCGCCCCGGCCCCACTGGCTGACAGCTGCAATGAGCCCTGCGTGCGCCAGTGCCCCGACTCCACCGTGGTGATCCAACCCCCGGCCACCGTGGTCACCTTCCCCGGGCCCATCCTCAGCTCCTTCCCACAGAACGCTGTGGTTGGCTCAGCAGGAGTCCCCGCCATTGGATCGGGCTTGGGTGGCACCTTTGGACGTAGTGCCGGCTTTGGGGGCTATGGAGGCTTTGGGGGCTATGGAGGCCTGGGAGGCTATGGAGGCTCTTATGGCCTTGGGGGCTTTGGGGGCTATGGAGGCTTTGGCAGCTGTGGATACGGTGGCTTTCGCCGTGGTCTTGGTTACCTCAGTGGCAGCTGCGGGCCCTGCTAAGCACAGCACTGCCTCTGCCCATGGTCGAAGGAGAGCTCTGCACAAGCCCCAGCACATCCTCACTTGACGCCGGGAGAAAGGCTTTCCCTTCGCCATTGCTGGGCACTGGTGCTCAGTCTTCCCGTCCCTGCACAGCGACTCTGTGCTCTATCTTCCTTTGCTGTGCTTGTACTTCAGCTTCAGGTCTGGACACGCCGTGACGTCACAGCCCAGAAGTGGGTGCCTGCTCCTCTCCCTCTGTCCTGTGCAAGAGATTGGGGACATCCTCCTGCCAGGGGCTGCTCTTCCACCAACTCTCTCAAACATGGAACCTGCAATAAAATCTGTCTTGCATCACAGTTTCCATCTCTGAGTTTTCCTTCACATCTCCTCAATCCCGAGTTCCCACTGAAGTCACAAAGGCTCTTTGGGGCCACCACTTCCAGCTTACAGCTGAGCCTTCTCAGGATCTCGGTGGGCTCTGCCCCGTCCCCTCTCACCTGCCCTGAGCAGCAAAAGATTCAACAGCAGCTGCCCCAGGCAGGCTCCATACTGCACCTTCAGTACTTGCTCCTCCCTCACAGCGATCCCCCACTTCTCTGACCCTGGCTCTACCTGCTGCAGCTCAAGAAGAGTTCTTGGCTCCATACAGAGCTCAGTGTCTGCTCTTGAGTGTCCCCGTAGTTGGCCTTTGTGATGTGGGGTCTGTGGACAGGCGTGCAGCCTTCTGAAGGGCAAAACCAGTTCCAGAGACTCCTGTGATGCCCTGAGGCAAAGGAAGGAAGGTGACAGCATATGAGCAACCTTGTCCACAGCCTCTCAAGATTCTTTCCTGCTCCGCTTCTTTCCAGAATTCCACATAGCATCGAGGATGCTGATTTTCCCCACCACTGCTCAGAAACAATTTCACAGCAGCTGTGAAAAATTGCTCTGACAGGGCAGCACAGCCGTGCTTCACTCTGCCCCATGTAGTGAATGCAGTGCTGGGCCCTTGGCTGTCCTTCATCTCATACAATCCTCCTGGACTCAGGCCACCCAAATAACTCCCCACCTCAGCGGGATGGGGCCCAGCCAGCACCTCCCACCAATGGGCCCTCACCCAGCCCACATGGGTCACCACAGGAGGCAAAACATGGCGTTTGGCTGAGCACGCTCACACAGCAGCCAGCAGACAGGTGGGGAAGGAAGGGACAAACTGAGCTGTGGCCAAAGGCAAGGGAGGAAGGACAATTTTCTGCTCATCCCGTGTAGGAAACCCATGGCTGTTCCTGATATTTGCTGCCTTTTCACCCTTCCCTGTCTTCCAGTTGCTGATGAGAGTGTTCTCCTGAGGTCCCCAGCAGTGACCAACCTGCTGCTCCACTGCCCACCTTGATTTCTCTGGCGGGCGACTCCTCTGCACAAGACGAGTGCACAGTGCTGGGATTGTGGAAATAGAAGATGTCTGGGGCACAAAAGGATGTAAGGAGAGGAGGGACTCCAAACTCTGACTCAAGACCTTGGTGCCTCTCTGGGTCAGGATGGCTGTGCTCCATTCATGGCTGTGAGGGCTACGTTGGGAACGTGGGGTGGTAATTCCCTTCCCCTCTCCAGTGTCCCCCTCCAGGATCTGAACACAGGGACACTGTTAGCAGCTGGCAGCAGCCCTGTGAATGATCTGCTTGTCTCCCCATTTCCCCTTGCCTCTACTTGTTATCACTGGCATAACAAGAAAAGGAGGAGAAAGCAGGCATGTAGAGGCCAGGTTATGCAGATCTCATGGAAGAGGTTCTGCGGGACACCCATTGAGTGTTAACATACTGAAGTGAGGTTTGTTTCAGAGGTGTCATTGGACCGGTTGTAGAAGAGAGGAGGCTCAGAGGGATGTGCTCTGCAGGACCCTCTATGCACTGTGATCCTCAGCAGTAATGCATAGCCCCAACTGCCAAAGTCCCAGAGCCAGTGCTGTGGGAGCAGCTAGCAGCCCAGAATCAGAGTCTCTGAGATAAAGGGCATTTGGGGAAGGACAAGGAAGACAAAATACGGGGGTCAAGAGTGCAGTGTAAGAGAGCTTTTATTGCAGGTCCAGGGGAGGAGGAGGGAGGTGGCAGAAGGGCAGCCCCTGGCCCGAGGCTGTCCTAGTCTTCTTGCAGAGAGCGGAGGACAGGAGCAGGCAGCCGAAGCTGGGCCATGCTATCATGGGTAATCCGGTGTAGAAGCAAAGGTCAGGGAGAACAAAGACAGACAGAGGTGGTCCCCATGCAGGCATGCGGTGTCCAAGGTTTGCAGTCCAGCGATGCTGAAGGGAAGCCCATCGTCACGGCATCAGGTGGGGATGTGCTGGGTCTTGTGCAGAGCTCTCCTTCATTTTTTCTAGAGGCAGTGCTGTGCTTAGCAGGGCCCGCAGCTGCCGCTGAGGTACCTGTGGCCTCGACGCCAGCCACCATATCCGCAGCTACCAAAGCCTCCATAGCCCCCAAAGCCCCCAAGGCCATAAGAGCCTCCATAGCCCCCAAAGCCTCCATAGCCCCCAAAGCCGGCACTACGTCCAAAGGTGCCACCCAAGCCCGATCCAATGGCAGGGACTCCTGCTGAGCCGACCACAGCGTTCTGTGGGAAGGAGCTGAGGATGGGCCCGGGGAAGGTGACCACGGTGGCCGGGGGTTGGATCACCACGGTGGAGTCGGGGCACTGGCGCACACAGGGCTCATTACAGCTGTTAGCCAGTGGGGCTGGGGCGGCCACACCGCAGGCAGGAGCACACAGGCTGGAGCAGGACATCTTCCACACAGTTAAGGAGTCCTGCAAAGGAACCCAAAGTAAGGGAAGTGTTGGGGAGACCTGTATGGATGGAGAAGCAGGGAGAGAGCCCTGAGAAGCCTCAGAGAGCTGCACTTACCCAGGAGCTGAAGGGAGTCAAGTAGTGGAAGCTGGATAGAGGACTGCAAAGTGCTCAGCTCTTTTATACCCATCCCAGACAGCCCAGGGCGTAGATGGGAGGGTGGTGGTGGCAGAAGACCCAGGGAATTGCGAAAAAAAAAAGCAGCATGTTTCGTAACACTCAAGGAGTGATGCTGAGCAATTATCTCCCTCCCCGTCTTATAGACTGAGGAGCAAACATCCCCTGAGGAATAAGGATGTGATGTTCTCTTCAGATGTCTATATGCAATTATATTAAAGACCAGGTACTGCTGATGCTGTCTTTCTGGAACCAATAATCACTGATGTGTTCCTAATCCCAAAGTGTAAGAATCACACAAATCTTGTGAAGGATGCACTTTGCAATCCTGCTTATAAGTGAAATGACTTTCATTACCGCCCTTTTATGGGCTGAAAAACAGAGGTGGTGGAAGTTTGAGGACAGAGATGAAGTGAACAACCCACTTGAGTCAGACCCCAAACTTGTATTGTCTTCCCTTGCTCCTTGTAGCCTCCTCAACTGAGAAGGCTGAACATGACCTAAACCATGTCCTCTTACCTTTGTATGCTCTACCATCCTCCACCTCGTATGTCTCCATATCAGATCCTACTGATCCCCAAACTTTGTCAAGCTTGAATTTGTTGCTCCTGATTTTTCAGTGCCATGAAGTGGATTAGGCATCCCTGAATACTTAAAACCTGCAGCAAAAGACTTTCTTGGAGTGAGCTTGGAGTGGGCTCATGAACATCGCCCGGACAGCACCTGCATCTCTCACTGGCATAAGGAGATGGCAGGACTGAGACCTACAATGACAGAGGGGGTTTTTCATCAATCCTTTAAAACTTCAGCTTTCCATCCAGCAAAAGAGATACAGTGACAGGTGTGCTGGTGGTAAGCTCAGTCACAAAAAGCATATACTGCAAAATGCCCAAGACTATTCAAATCGATAAGAATGCAATGAAGAACAGCCTAGGTATATGAGGGTTATTAGTTCAGATTCTGCAGTGCCTAGAATAGAATGTAATGTCATTTGAAATTTGGTCCTACCCACCATGTCCCTCTATGACATGGAACACTTACTACTCCATGTATCCGATGATGATATAATTAATCAGCATCACTCCTTGTGTGTCATGAAATGTGTTGGCTTTACTTAAAGATTATCTAGGACTTCTGCCACCACCGCCCTCCCATGTATGCCTTGGGCAGTCTGGGATGGGTATAAAAGAGCTGTGCACTCTGCAGTCCTCTATCCAGCTTCCTCCACTTGACTCCCCTCAGCTCCTCGGTAAGTGCAGCTCTCAGAGGCTTCTCAGGGCTCTCTCCCTGCCTCTCCATCCGTATGGCTCTCCCCAACCATTTCCTCACTGTGGGTCCCTTTGCAGGACTCCTGGACTGTGTGGAAGATGTCCTGCTCCAGCCTGTGTGCCCCTGCCTGCGGTGTGGCCGCCCCAGCCCCACTGGCTGACAGCTGCAATGAGCCCTGCGTGCGCCAGTGCCCCGACTCCACCGTGGTGATCCAACCCCCGGCCACCGTGGTCACCTTCCCCGGGCCCATCCTCAGCTCCTTCCCACAGAACGCTGTGGTTGGCTCAGCAGGAGTCCCCGCCATTGGATCGGGCTTGGGTGGCACCTTTGGACGTAGTGCCGGCTTTGGGGGCTATGGAGGCTTTGGGGGCTATGGAGGCCTGGGAGGTTATGGAGGCTCTTATGGCCTTGGGGGCTTTGGGGGCTATGGAGGCTTTGGTAGCTGTGGATATGGTGGCTGGCGTCGAGGCCACAGGTACCTCAGTGGCAGCTGCGGGCCCTGCTAAGCACAGCACTGCCTCCAGAAAAAATGAAGGAGAGCTCTGCACAAGACCCAGCACATCCCCACCTGATGCCGTGACGATGGGCTTCCCTTCAGCATCGCTGGACTGCAAAACTTGAATGCCACTTTCCTGCATGGGGACCACCTCTGTCTGTCTTTGTTCTGCCTGACCTTTGCTTCTACACCGGCTTACCCATGATAGCATGGCCCAACTTCGGCTGCCTGCTCCTGTCCTCTGCTGTCTGCAAGAAGACTAGGACAGCCTCGGGCCAGGGGCTGCCCTTCTGCCTCCTCCCTCCTCCTCCCCTGGACCTGCAATAAAAGCTCTCTTACACTGCACTCTTGACCCCCGTATTTTGTTTTCCTTGTCCTTTTCTAAATGCCCTTTATCTCAGAGACTCTGAGTCTGGGCTGCTAGCTGCTCCCACAGCACTGGCTCTGGGACATTTGGCAGTTGGGGCTGTGCATTACTGCTGAGGATCACAGTGCATAGAGGGTCCTGCAGAGCACATCCCTCTGAGCCTCCTCTCTTCTACAACCGGTCCAATGACACCTCTGAAACAAACCTCACTTCAGTATGTTAACACTCAATGGATGTCCCACAGAACCTCTTCCATGAGATCTGCACAACCTGGCCTCTACATGCCTGCTTTCTCTTCCTTTTCTTGTTATGCCAGTGATAACACATAGCGGCAAGGGGAAATGGGGAGACAAGCAGAGTATTCACAGGGCTGCTGCCAGCTGCTAACAGTGTCCCTGTGTTCAGATCCTGGAGGGGGACACTGGAGAGGGGAAGGGAATTACCACCCCAAGGTAAGGGAATTCCCAAGGTAGCCCTCACAGCCATGAATGGAGCACAGCCATCCTGACCCAGAGAGGCACCAAGGTCTTGAGTCAGAGTTTGGAGTCCCTCCTCTCCTTACATCCTTTTGTGCCCCAGACATCTTCTATTTCCACAATCCCAGCACTGTGCACTCGTCTTGTGCAGAGGAGTCGCCCGCCAGAGAAATCAAGGTGGGCAGTGGAGCAGCAGGTTGGTCACTGCTGGGGACCTCAGGAGAACACACTCATCAGCAACTGGAAGACAGGGAAGGGTGAAAAGGCAGCAAATATCAGGAACAGCCATGGGTTTCCTACACGGGATGAGCAGAAAATTGTCCTTCCTCCCTTGCCTTTGGCTACAGCTCAGTTTGTCCCTTCCTTCCCCACGTGTCTGCTGGCTGCTGTGTGAGCGTGCTCAGCCAAACGCCATGTTTTGCCTCCTGTGGTGACCCATGTGGGCTGGGTGAGGGCCCATTGGTGGGAGGTGCTGGCTGGGCCCCATCCCGCTGAGGTGGGGGGTTATTTGGGTGGCCTGAGTCCAGGAGGATTGTATGAGATGAAGGGCAGCCAAGGGCCCAGCACTGCATTCACTACATGGGGCAGAGTGAAGCACGGCTGTGCTGCCCTGTCAGAGCAATTTTTCACAGCTGCTGTGAAATTGTTTCTGAGCAGTGGTGGGGAAAATCAGCATCCTCAATGCTATGTGGAGCTCTGGAAAGAAGCGGAGCAGGAAAGAATCTTGAGAGGCTGTGGACAAGGTTGCTCATGGGCTCTCACCTTCCTTCCTTTGCCTCAGGGCATCACAGGAGTCTCTGGAACTGGTTTTGCCCTTCAGAAGGCTGCATGCCTGTCCGCAGACCCCACATCACAAAGGCCAACTACAGGGACACTCAAGAGCAGACACTGAGCTCTGTATGGAGCCAAGAACTCTTCTTGAGCTGCAGCAGGTAGAGCCAGGGTCAGAGAAGTGGGGGAGAGCTGTGAGGGAGGAGCAAGTACTGAAGGTGCAGTTTGGAGCCTGCCTGGGGCAGCTGCTGTTGAATCTTTTGCTGCTCAGGGCAGGTGAGAGGGGACGGGGCAGAGCCCACCGAGATCCTGAGAAGGCTCAGCTGTGAGCTGGAATTGGTGGCCCCAAAGAGCCTTTGTGACTTCAGTGGGAACTCGGGATTGAGGAGATGTGAAGGAAAACTCAGAGATGGAAACTGTGATGCAAGACAGATTTTATTGCAGGTTCCATGTTTGAGAGAGTTGGTGGAAGAGCAGCCCCTAGCAGGAGGATGTCCCCAGTCTCTTGCACAGGACAGAGGGAAAGGAGCAGGCACCCACTTCTGGGCTGTGACGTCACGGCGTGTCCAGACCTGAAGCTGAAGTACAAGCACAGCAAAGGAAGATAGAGCACAGAGTCGCTGTGCAGGGACGGGAAGACTGAGCACCAGTGCCCAGCAATGGCGAAGGGAAAGCCTTTCTCCCGGCGTCAAGTGAGGATGTGCTGGGGCTTGTGCAGAGCTCTCCTTCGACCATGGGCAGAGGCAGTGCTGTGCTTAGCAGGGCCCGCAGCTGCCGCTGAGGTAACCAAGACCACGGCGAAAGCCACCGTATCCACAGCTGCCAAAGCCTCCATAGCCCCCAAAGCCCCCAAGGCCATAAGAGCCTCCATAGCCTCCCAGGCCTCCATAGCCCCCAAAGCCTCCATAGCCCCCAAAGCCGGCACTACGTCCAAAGGTGCCACCCAAGCCCGATCCAATGGCAGGGACTCCTGCTGAGCCAACCACAGCGTTCTGTGGGAAGGAGCTGAGGATGGGCCCGGGGAAGGTGACCACGGTGGCCGGGGGTTGGATCACCACGGTGGAGTCGGGGCACTGGCGCACGCAGGGCTCATTGTAGCTGTCAGCCAGTGGGGCTGGGGCGGCCACACCGCAGGCAGGAGCACACAGGCTGGAGCAGGACATCTTCCACACAGTCAAGGAGTCCTGCAAAGGGAACTCACAGTAAGGAAAGTGTTGGGGAGATCTGTATGGATGGAGGCAGGGAGAGTCCTGAGAAGCCTCTGAGAGCTGCACTTACCCAGGAGCTGAAGGGAGGGAATCTAGTGGAAGAAGCTGGATAGAGGACTGCAAAGTGCACAGCTCTTTTATACCCATCCCAGACGGCCCGGGGCACAGATGGGAGGTCATTGGTGGCAGAAGTCCCAGATAATCTTTAAATAAAGCAACAATGTTTCATGAGAATCATGGAGTGAGGCAAAGCAATTAAATCCTTCATCAATGGAGATATTGGGATGTAAGCATGCTTTGGAGAACAAGAAGCTGATGAGGGACAGGTGATTACAAGCAATTACAGGAAAGACAGACCACGCGCATCTGATGCTGACCTCACAACACCTATAAATCCCAATTTGTTCTTAATCCCAAACTTCATCTATGAGAAAGACTCACAGGTATCCTACAGACAAAGCACTTTGCAATCCTGCTCACAGACACAATGTCTATCATTACCTTCATTACCGCTGTTTTATGGGCTGGTAAACTTTGGACAAAGCGAAGAAATGATCCCACCTTCCTGGGACAGCTCCCAAACAACTGCCACCACCCTTCAGTGGCAAACAGTGGGATGCAATTGGGTTGGGAAGTCAGTGCATCTCTGATTGTTGGCAGTTCCCTGCCCAGTGGAGCGTGGGGCTTTTCTGACTTGCCAGCCAAGGCTACGTCTATAGCTATGATGTCTTTGTTTGTGAATGCTAATCTGCCAAGGCATTAGGAACACACTGGGGGTAATTTGTTCAAAACACATCAGCAAGAGCAACACCTTCTCTTTGAAGTAATTGTGTATAGCCATGTCACCTTCTCATCCCCTTGCTGTTCTCCAAGGCATGTTTTTGTCTCAGTGTACCCAATGGGAAAGGAAATAATTGCTCTGTATCTTTTCCTGTGAGTCATGATGCGTATTTGGTTTATTTCATGATTATTGGGAGCTTCTGCCACCACTACCCTCTCATGTATGCCTCAGGCTGTCTGGGATGGGTATAAAAGAGCTGAGGGCTTCTGCAGTCCTCTATCCAGCTTCCTCCACTTGACTCCCTTCAGCTCCTGGGTAAGTGCAGCTCTCTGAGGTTTCTCAGGACTCTCTCCCTGCCTCTCCATCCATACAGGTCTCCCCAACACTTTTCTTACTGTGGGTCCCTTTGCAGGACTCCTTGACTGTGTGGAAGATGTCCTGCTCCAACCTGTGTGCTCCTGCCTGCGGTGTGGCTGCCCCAGCCCCACTGGCTGACAGCTGCAATGAGCCCTGCGTGCGCCAGTGCCCCGACTCCACCGTGGTGATCCAACCCCCGGCCACCGTGGTCACCTTCCCCGGGCCCATCCTCAGCTCCTTCCCACAGAATGCTGTGGTCGGCTCAGCAGGAGTCCCCGCCATTGGATTGGGCTTGGGTGGCACCTTTGGACGTAGTGCTGGCTTTGGGGGCTATGGAGGCTCTTATGGCTATGGAGGCCTGGGAGGCTATGGAGGCTCTTATGGCCTTGGGGGCTTTGGGGGCTATGGAGGCTTTGGCAGCTGTGGATACGGTGGCTTTCGCCGTGGTCTTGGTTACCTCAGTGGCAGCTGTGGGCCCTGCTAAGCACAGCACTGCCTCTGCCCACGGTCAAGGAGAGCTCCAGAGAAGTCCTAGTACATCCCCACCTGATGCCGTGAGGAAGGGCTCCCTTTTGGCACTGCTGGTCTCTGGAGCCTGGACGACTTGTACCTGTACAGAGCGTGGCTCTATTTCTCTTTGCTCTGTATGATCTTTACTTCAGGACTGGCATCCCCGTGATGGCACAGCCCAACACTGATTGTTTGCTTCTATCCTCTGCATCTCCAAGTTGATGGGAACAGCCTCTGGCCAGGGGCTGCCCATTTTACATCTTCCTCCTCCTCCCGTATTCCTACAATAAAAGCTCTCTCTTGCACCGTAATCTTGAGCTTGGTGTTTTTATTTTCCTTCTCCTTCCCTACTTCCCCCACATCTCACGGTCTCTGATTCTGTGCTGCTACCTGCTCCCACAGCATTGCCTCTGGGACATTTGCCAAGTGGGGCTGTGCATTACTGCTGAGGATCACAGTGTATAGAGGTCCTGCAGAACATATCCCACTGAGCCTCCTCTCTTCTTGCAATTGGTATAATGACACCTCATAAACAAACCTCACTTCAGTATGTTTACACTCACTGGATGTCCCACAGAGTCTCTTCCACATCCTCTGTCCACTAAGGACTGACCATGCCTTCTTTCACATCCTTTCTTGACAGTCCAGTAATCACACATGGAGATGAGAGGAAATGGGAAGACAGGAAGTGCATGGACAGGGATCCTGCCACCTGCTAATAGTGGCCCTAAGTTCATAACTTGGAGGGGGCATTGGAGTGGGTAAATGAGGTACATCCCCATGTTCCCATGGTTCCACTCTCAGACGTGAATGGAGCATGGCCATTCTCACCCAGGGAGCAGAAAGGTTTTGAGCTGCAGTTTGGAGTTCCTCTTTGTCTGGTGTCCTTTTCCTCCCCATACATCTTCTGGTCCCATGATCCAAGCACTGCGCGCTGCTCTTGCACAGAGGTGATTCCTGTCAGGAATGACAAGTTGGCTAGTGAAGCAGCAGATTGGTCACTGCTGCAGATCTCAGAAGAACACATGCCATCAACTAGAAGCATAGGTTTCCTGCACTGGTTGAATGGAAAATTGTCCTTCCTCCATTAACCTTGTTTACATCTTTATTTCTGCCCTCCTTCCTCACCTCTGCTGGCTCCTGTGTGATGGAGCTCAGCCAAACCCCATGTTTTGCCTCCTGTGCTGTCCCATGGGATGGTTGCAGGCCCATTGGTGGGAGGTAGTGGCTGGTCCCCATTGCTTTGATGTGGCCAGGTGCTTTGCGGGGCCTAGAGTCCCAGAGCGTTGTATGAGATGAAGGGCAGCAGAGGGCTCAGCATTGCTTGTCCTACTCAGGCAGAGCCATGTGGCCCAAGCTGCTGTGGAATTTCTTGTCAGCCAAAGGTGAGTAAGAACTGCCTATGGTAGTGGTGTATGGAGCTCTGGGTAGAAGAGGTGTAGGAGATAATCTTGAGAGGCAAGAGACAAGGCTGCTGAGGGAATCTTAGCCTCCTTTCTTTGCACCATGGCCTCACAGGATGCTCTGACATGGCCTTTGCCCATTGGGAGGCTGCACTGCTGTCCATGGACCACACAGCCCAAAAAGCCACCTACAGGGACACTCAAGAGTGGATACTGAGCTCACTGTTATCCACGAGCACTCCTTGGGCTGCAGCAGGCAGGAACCAGGGGCAGAGGAAAGGGAGAGAGCTCTGAGGCAGGAGCAACTGTTGAAGGCACTGTATGGGATCTGGATGGGGTGAGCTCCAGCTGGAGCCATAGAGCCAAGGGCAGGTAAGAGGGCAGGGAGCAGTGCCCGCAAGGCTCCTGAGAAGGCCCAGCTGAGAGATTGTGGCTGCATAGAGCCTGTGCAGATGCTGTGGGAACTGGGCACAACAGGAGGGGTGAAGGAAAACTCAGAGAAGAAAACTGTGATGCAAGAGAGCCTTTATTACAGGGTCGAGGGGGGGGGTGGGAGGTGACAGAATTACAGCCGCTGGCCAGAGGCCGTCCCCATCTCCTTGCAGAAGGCAGAAGGACAGAAGCAGGCAGTCAGCACTGGGCTGCATCATCACAGGGCAGCGAGTCCTGAAGCAAAGATCAAATGCAGCAGTGGAAGAAAGAGCTGGTCTCTGTGCGAGTACGAGATGTCCAAGCACCAGAGCCCAGCAGCGCCAAAGGGGAGTCCTTCCTCATGGCATCAGATGGGGACATGCTTCTTCAGGGGATTCTTCCGAGCTCTCCTTCAATCGTGGACAGAGGCAGTGCTGTGCTTAGCAGGGCCCGCAGCTGCTGCTGAGGTACCTGTGGCCTCGACGCCAGCCACCATATCCACAGCTGCCAAAGCCTCCATAGCCCCCAAAGCCCCCAAGGCCATAAGAGCCTCCATAGCCTCCCAGGCCTCCATAGCCCCCAAAGCCGGCACTACGTCCAAAGGTGCCACCCAAGCCCGATCCAACGGCAGGGACTCCTGCTGAGCCAACCACGGAGCTCTGTGGGAAGGAGCTGAGGATGGGCCCGGGGAAGGTGACCACGGTGGCTGGGGGTTGGATCACCACGGTGGAGTCGGGGCACTGGCGCACGCAGGGCTCATTGCAGCTGTCAGCCAGTGGGGCTGGGGCTGCCACACCGCAGGCAGGAGCACACAGGCTGGAGCAGGACATCTTCCACACAGTCAAGCAGTCCTGCAAAGGGACCTACAGTGAGGAAAGGGATGGGGAGAGCCATATGGATGGAGAGGCAGGGAGAGAGCCCTGAGGAGCCTCAGAGAGCTGCACTTACCCAGGAGCTGAAGGGAGTCAAGTGGAGGAAGCTGGATAGAGGACTGCAAAGTGCTCAGCTCTTTTATACCTATCCCAGAGAGCCCAGGGCGTAGATGGGAGGGCGGTGGTGTCAGAAGCTCCCAATAATCATGAAATAAAGCCAATAGGCTTTATGACACACAACCAGTAAAGTGACACAATTGTATCTCTACCCTTTGTGGATTTTGAGGCACAAACTGGTTGTGGAGAACAAGAAGATGGAATAGTTTGATGGCAACATGCAGTTATGTGAAATTCTGGATGCTACTGGTCCTCATTAAATAGAACTAATCAACCCTAATATTTTCCTTATCCTTTGTGCAATTGCATCTTCACCTGTAAAATCCAGCATAGCTCCACATTTTTTCAGCATCTTTAGGAAGCTACTGAAAAGGAAATGCCCCATATCTCACAGAAGTAATGTTTACAGATGCTCTAGAACTCACACCCCAATTGCCTCCCAGTTCTTACTGGTGTAGGATGATGGTGGACAACTGGGAGTGGTCCCTGGTGGGTGGGATGGCTTCATTTTTTGCCCCCAGTTCCACCATCTCTGTTTACCAGCCTATAAAGTGGAGGTAATGAGAGGCGTGCTGGCAGCGTGCTGCTCTGTAAAATGTTTCATCTGCAGGATGCCTCTGACTCTTCAACACAGATGAAGTTTGGGATTAGGAACACTTTGGGGTTTGTTGGTGTTGTGAGGTCAGATTCATCAGCACGTGGTCCTTCATGTGATGTTGCATCAGTGTTTGACCCTCCCAACACATTCTTCTTCTCCAGGGCATGTTTGTTACTTAGGGTACCAATGATGAGGGATATAATTACTCCGCATCACTCCTTGTGTGTCATGAAGAGTGCTGGCTTTATGTCATGATTATCTGGGGCTTCTGCCACTACCACCCTCAAGTCAATGCTTGGGGATGGCTGGGACAGGTATAAAAGTGCTGAGGGCTTTGCAGTCCACTATCCACCTTCCTCCACTTGACTCTCCATCTCAGAGTGGTAAGTCTATTCCTTATGTATCTCCTCAGTTTCTTAGCAGTACTTTTGTCAAGTGCTTCATTGCTGTGGGTTCTAACACTTTTTTCTTAGTGCCTGATAAGTCTGGATGTGATCATATTTTTTTTCAGAAATAAGGAAATAATGGATATTTAAACTTTTAGACACCGTGTCCTGAGCTTACCAATGCACTTTTATCTTCTGAGCTCTCCATGATTTTCTCACTGCTTTCTGTGAGGGAGTTTTACTCCACCTTCTGGCTCTGCTGGGACATAGCCTCATGCAGGAAGATCAGGTTGTTTACACCAGCATTTCAAGTGAATATTGTACTTTTGCTCTGACTGACAGATATGGTGCAGAGCATTTCCTCGGTACATGCTCCAAATGCAAGAAAGGCATGAAGGATTCGTGTTCCATTTCTATCCTGAATATGTCTCTGCCTATTCTCACAGCTTCATCTCCTGAACCAAAGGATGTCCTGCTCCAGCCTGTGTGCCCCTGCCTGCGGTGTGGCCGCTCCAACCCCTCTGGCTGACAGCTGCAATGAGCCCTGCGTGCGCCAGTGCCCCGACTCCACCGTGGTGATCCAACCCCCGGCCACCGTGGTCACCTTCCCCGGGCCCATCCTCAGCTCCTTCCCACAGAACGCTGTGGTTGGCTCAGCAGGAGTCCCTGCCGTTGGATCGGGCTTGGGTGGCACCTTTGGACGTAGTGCTGGCTTTGGGGGCTATGGAGGCCTGGGAGGCTATGGAGGCTCTTATGGCCTTGGGGGCTTTGGGGGCTATGGAGGCTTTGGCAGCTGTGGATATGGCAGCTGGGGCCGAGGCTACAGGTCCCTTGGGGGCAGCTGTGGGCCCTGCTAAACCCCAAATATCCACACACTACAGTGCTGCATCTGCTGAGTCTTCACAAATACCTCCTCTTCTCTTCTACCACCAGATGTAGCTTTCCATCCCTCTTATGGCTGTTCCAAATTAGTTGCTTTAAATCATTACTCCTTGCTTTTTGCTCAGTTCAGCCTCTGAAATCTGCAGTTTAGGGCTCAGGGTTTCCAACAGTGCCTCCAGAAGTTTCCCTCTACTTGTGTACAGCAAAGCAGTGCTCATCGTTGGGCGAAGCTCTCCCTACTCTGACCAGCTCTGAGCCTCCTGAACGATGCTAAGAAAAGGAATCTCTGGGGTGAAGCCCTGGATTGAGACTTGCTACAGCCTTGTGGTTTGCACGATTGCAATTCATTATTTCTGTGTTGTGCTTTTTTCTGTATTGCCTTCTCCATTTGCATTAAAGAATCTGTATTGCATCAACAATTCCTTTTTGTCTGAGTTTCCTTTTGTCTGAGTTTGGTCCTCCCCTCGCTATGAAACTTGTTTATAACAAAGCAATGATGTGAAATATCCAACAGCTCACAGGTTTGGTGAAAAGTTTTATCATATCTCCGATTTTCTCTCAGAGATCACTTTTAAAATAAACTGTAGACAAATGACTACAGAAAGATATGCTTTGTTACTGTGTGCAGATTCACAGGTGAGATACTGTTTTGTGTGTTCTATAGAGGAACAAATGCTGGACTAGTGCCATATTTTGTTCTCATTCAGACCCTGGGAAAACTTATACGTTTTTACACTGAAAACAAGAAAATACAGATGAAATGAACGTGCTTTTCCTTCCCCCTAGATGGAAAGAAGGAAGGGAAATTTTCAGTGGGATCCAAAGTGATCTTTCTTCAGCTCTTTAAACCAGATCCCTCTGCTCCCCGTCACAACCCATCAGGTGTGATGCTATTGTGGTGCTTCACAGGTGCACACCAGAGTGCCCATACAGCTTTGCCTCCCTCTGCAGGAGCCCCTGGGCTTTGTCTGGGCCTTGGGATTCTCCACCTTGAGGGCTGAACCCAATGAAGTCACCTCCTGTTTTGGGCTTTGGGTCAAGTGCTGGGAAATTGCCCTGCCCTGAGAAGGACACAGGAAGTTTGATGGAGATCATTCCCTGAGAAATGAAACCTGCAGGGGACCTGGTTTGAGGCCTTCCTGATGCTTCTTCAAGCTCTTCTTTGGGCACATCACGACTTGTTCTCTGGTTTGGTCAGTCTCGTGCAGGATATTCTTGCAATGTGTACAATGAAAAAATTACATATATATTCACCCTGACTATATTCACTAACTGACTATGTTGCTAGCTATACATGTATATTGCTAATTATTTAACTTTTCCTCCTTAAGTTCTCTATTACTCAGGTCTTGTTTGTCCAGCACCAAATATTAGTATTGCAGAAGGCTGGACAGAAGCAAGCTGCAGTCTTTGTGCCTATAATCTACTCCATCTACATAATCTCTGTGACTATAAATTTATTCACATATATATTAAGCATGCATTACTGGGAGAGGTTCATCTAGATGATAAATGACGAAAACTATCAGAGAACCTCCCCAGTAAAGTACAAAGACCCCCCAAAAATTTTTGGCAGCAGAGACCATGAAATAAAACATTCTTATCTTACTCTAATGCAGAAACAAGAGTTGATTCCCACACTACAGATTCAACAAAGGAATGAAAGGAGAAGGCAGTGATTACATGGCAATGAAAACCAAAAGACATAGTTTGGTATAGAAAATTTATTTGGAAGGAGACAGCTTTTCTACAATTGTACAAAGTATAAGTTGTCCAGAATATAAAGTACATCTTTCTGGGGGTCCAGTAGGGCTTTCGCTGATCACCAGCATCCAAGTAATGCAATCAATTTATGTATTTCCCTTTTAGTGCATTTCCTGCGTGCAATTTCTAGCGTCCTAAGTCACCTCTCTAAAATCAGTGTTAATAACATAACTGAAACAAAGCATAATGTAAGCAGATGACTAAACGGGGAAGCCAGAGGATAACAGACCTAACCTAAAGGCAAAATGAGGAAATGCACACACAAGCCTGCCTTCCACAAGGGCTGAGCTCTCACAGCTCTCATTCTCTCCAGCTGGAGCCCAGCCCTGGGGGTGATTTGAGCTGATCCCATTAGCTCCACCCTTAATTTTCTTCTAGAGTTCCCTTGACTTCTTCAGATTGTTCCATGAGTATTCAGTATGCCCACCGCTTTCCGGAGCGATATGAGTTGCATGGATGTGTCCATTGGGAAGAATAGGTGTAGGAGTACTTGGGAGCACAGCGCGGCTCAGGACGGGTGATGACTTGTGGGGTGAGTTTCTCAACTGGTGGCGCCTCTGCAGGTAGGGCTACCGCGGCGGGGGGCTCAGCCTGGGTCAATTCTGCAGACTCTGAGGACCCCACCACGGTTTGCTGTGGGTAGGTGGTGAGGATGGGCCCTGGGAAGGTGACGACCACAGGTGGTGGGTAAATGATGACCCGGGAGTCACCGCAGGTCACCACGCAGGGCTCGTTGCTACTGCTGGCCAGCGGCTGGGGGCATTTGGCCTCGCAGGGATTGGAGCAAGCCAGCTGGTTGGTAGCCATCACCCGGCTGTGGCACAGGTTTCCTGCAAGTTAATTGTAAAATTAGACAGGGGAAAGGAAAGAAAAAAAAGTCTTGGTTGTCATTGCTTTTTATTTTTTTTCCTGCGTGCTCAGTAATTGATGCTTCTAAGCTTGGCTCTAAGGGAACTTCAGAGAGATAACCTGGAGAAGAGAAACTGTTTAACCCTCTCCCCATCTCTATAGCCTTTTCCTTAATCTATTTCTCTCTTTCTGGTTTGCTCCTTTAAGCTTGTTCCCCTCCCTTCCTCCCAAAGCCCAAATCATCCCCTTTCCCTGTGTTTCCCATCCCCCCAAGCTAACTCTGCTCTCACTCCTCCCTGCCCTTGGCAGTGCTTCCTGCAGACAAGCAGCAGCCTGTTCCCACAGCGTCTCCTCTCCTCCCACCCACAGCCTCCAGGGCTGCACCCACTCTATGTGCTGTATGGATGGGGTGCAAGCTGGGGGATCCGGGTTTTCCACGCTTCTGAATATCGAATTATCTGTTTATGAACCTACTTTATTTCTTCTATTATTTTCCATGTAAATTCCTGCTATAAACAGGCATTGTTCCATTAAGACACGGAAAAATTCAAGGCAGAGAATAAACAGGGGTTTTCAAATATAGATTTAATAAATAAAATGCGTTGCTTACAGCATTCATATTGTAGATGAGTGGTTGGTCAATTGTTTTATCAACGGAAAAGTGGTATACGGTGTCATAAAATAGGTAGCCAGATATGCTTTCTAATGAATAAACAATTATATTGCAAAGCATGGAGTGTCCGAAGCTGCTTTCCCTGACTTCAGGAGCTCAGTGCTGCCTTGTACCAGGGGCTGGCAGAGGGAAGGAGCAAGCTCGCGAGCTCTCTGGTCTATTTTCTTCTCTCAGCGGTAGCCAGGGGAACAGAAAACTATCTCCAAACACCTCATTCTGCAGAGGGTGGGGGCAGGGGGAAAGCATGCATAGCGTTTATTCCTCAAATACCCTTAGGTTTGAACTCAGCATTGACCTGAAAAAATTGTGTAATTCATCCTCTGTAAAGACATGAAAATGCCAGCAAAGCCACGTGCTAATAGTTAGAAGTGAGAGCTTATTTTCAAAGTTATATGAAGTAAGAGTATGTAATCATCAGCTGGTGTAGCTTGTTAGGACTCCAAGTAAACTAATAACAAATAAAAGCAGTCTGCATCTCTATAGCGGAGCAAAGCTATTTAAAGCAATGAAGTTTTACTTAAACGGCCATCTACAGAATGCCACCCCCTCTACATCCCCCCCCCCCCAGCAACTGCCAAATCCCCCTTGCATGGCAAATAAGCAAAAACAGAGCTAAAAACATGCTGCTCTTCTGCGAAGTTTTCCAAGAGAAGAGATTTAACGTCCTGCATCTCCTATCAAATTAGCAGCGCAGAGTCTCGAGAAACCCTTGATTTTTATTTTACAGCCTTTATCCTGCAGAGAAAAAAAGAATCTACAGCAAGGTGTTTACTAATCCCACTGATAGCGCTTTCATGCAGGATTTAGTCCCAGTTTTTAACAAGATTTACGCTAAAATAACATCAAATTCATAGTTGTCAAATCAGACTTACTCAGTGTACCGCAGAGAACAAACCAAGAGAAGTAGTGAGAAAAGCTGTGTGTGAAAAGAGCGTTTATATCCTTCCTCAGATTGCCTGGAGGATCTGAGCCACCCTTTGTGTAAAGCACCTTAATTACTTATGAAGCAAACTTTGTTGCATGTATTACTCCTTTAATTGTTTTGCTTTCTGTTTATGGTTATCTGAAGCTGAGTAATGACTCAAAATGCAGACTGTAAGCTGCCAGTGCCTTTAATCTTGAAGTTTCCTGGTTTTGCTCTGCTGATTTTGTTAGGAATTAAAAATACATGGCTGTTTTTTGTGACTTATCTTTGCTAAAAACATGAGTGCACAGAGACTCGGAGATGTCAGTATCACGGTGAGTCAGTGCATGAAAGAACTCTTTCCTTGTTGGAAATACAGGCTGACATCCACACCTAGATAAATCTCTAGAGGCACAGGGCTTCCTTCTCATCTGATATAATGTTAATGGAGTTGATGGAAGTGCTGTTAACGAACTCAGAGGAAGTATCTGGTGCAAAAACTTGACAGCAAAACTAGCTTTTAAATAAAGATGAAATCATCTCCAATTCTGAAACCTAAAAGAAGGAGCTGATTAAACAAATGCTTTACATTTTTTATTCCGTGTGAGGTCAGAGAAGTATAAATCCACTAAGATATCTTTTACTATTAACATAAAATGATTTCCAAGTATGATATACTGACATGTTTGTGAAGTACTTTGAATTCTTGTTTCCCAGTGTCTCCAGAATATTCCTCTGCAGCCTGGGGGATGTTCAGGGCTGCCTCACTAAATACAAGTAATTCATGACACAAACATCAAGACAGTGGATTTAATTTATCTAAGCGTGCTTGGTGTCTTTATGCACAAAGCCTCCCTCCAGAGGGACGATGGAGTGCAGTGAACTGATTTATTGAGAATGGACGTCCCCCATGTATCTATCACTGAAGTCCTCCTGCTGGTCTTCTGCCACCAGGGGGAGCCTTCCTGTGTTCAGGAGCCTCCCATCATGCACTGCTCCTCTGCACACCTGGGGGCAGAGTTAAGGGGATTGGGGCAGCCTGAGGCTGCGTTTGGGCTGTGGGTCTATGCCATGGCAGAGGTTTTGCTCCCAGTGAGGTGGTACAAATATTGCACGCATGGAGGAAACTCGTAATTCAACTGCAAATATAATTGTGTTGTTCTTGGCTATTTTATTTTTTTTTTACCAAGATCTTGTGGTTCTAATTTAACATAACATCTGTCCAGAAGACTGTTGCTCTTGGGAATTGCCATTTCAAAGCATGGTGTTTAGAACACATGCAGCAAGAATGGAATTCACCTCTGTAAAACAATTCTAGCTTAGGACAGTGGATTCTTGTTTCGTCTTCATGGCACTTGGGAAATCCCTGACATAGGCAGGAACTGAATCCTGACTGTCGTGTTAAGATGCATTCCCTTAGCTAGCAATGAGAGAATGAATTCTTCTGAATTTCCTCCTATGCAGTATTGCTAAAATAGATTTTTTTTCCCCACACTAGTTTTTATATTGTACTCTGGAGTGACTAATAAAGGCAGAAGAGCGCTAAGAGTAAAGTAGGCTGCATATACCACAATGTACAATGTTAATATTGTGAGCACCTATTAACTTTAAATCATTTTAGATAATTATACCCTTGTGCAAGGCAGGGACAGCATTAATAATGGCTCTTGTCTAGCTAAAATATGATCTCTATGGCCAAACCAGTTCTGTTCAACTTCATAGCGCAGAAGACTTGTTTGTAAAGCTGAGTCAGGAATGCTTGCTAATGAAGGAATAATCAAAGGGAAATACTTAGGAATGGATGCTCTGCTGATGTAGATCTGCAACATTCACTCTCTGAACTTCAAAGAACCTCTATATGCTTACCTCATCTGCAAATACATTATATCAGCACAAATTCTGCCCATTAGGCAATTATAAATTGAAATGCAAGTCCAGATTGAGAACAAAAGTTAATCACTTATGTATTTAACACAGAGCTCCATGATTTCTTACACTAGCAGAAACTCTGGCTTTCTGATTTTATACAAACTAAAGTGAAAGTTAAACAATTCAAAATCTGAGGCAGCACATTGCAGTCTAATTAGGACAATACCAGAAGTGACCTTGATCATCTCCTTTAATATGATACTCTTACCCAACGCTAGGAGTCACCTACAGCTATTGTCATTATACAGCAATTTGCATAGGCCACATATTAATGTTTGTGAAACATTTGCAGTCCTCAGCATTCCCATGGCATTTAATTACACAGGGTGTTTCCAGAAACACCTCGTAAATCCTAATGCATGGCAAGAAGGCGTACAATTGAACAAAGCTGCACAGCTACTGGAAAAAATAAAATAAATCCATCCAAGCTAGGTGTCAAACAGGGTTATGGAAGGCTTTCTTGAAGAATGCATTCCAGTTCAACTGAGCAGGCCCTTTACTGAAGGTCTTCCAATGACATTGGTGGATCAAAAAGGGGAATGTTGTCTTGCTGATGATCTGGTGGTTTGTGCACTTGCTGGCTGGGATCTTGGTTTTCCAGGCTTGTCAGAACTGATGTTGTGGGGCTAGGGCTCCATGGCTGTTCCACATCTTTACCAGTTCACTTCTAGGTATTAACAACCTAGCAGACAGGGTAGGAGAAGAACTGATTTATACATACTCAAAGTTTGTGTGAGAAGTTTGGAAGAAGGAAGTGCTGAAAAAGCACAGGAGGGAAAGAGAATGAAGGGAGCAGAACAGATGAGAGGCACACAGCTCACCATGGGATGACCAGAGCAGTACTGAAATATGTTGTAACACAAGGAAGTCCAAATGGTGGCTTGTTGGGTGTAGGAAAGCTGAAAAAAAAAAAAGTCACTTTAATGATGTAAAATGCGAGTTTTGGAGTGTACCTAAGGCTGCATGTTGTCCTTGGCCTTTCCACAGGTTTTATGTTTTCTTCCTGCTAGCCCTGTGTTGTGTAGCTTTTTTTTGTTTGTTTGTATACAGAAACCAAAGCCATACAACCAAGACTAAAATCCAGAGTTAACCCTGGGTTACTTAGCCTCTACAGCTCCCTCTAGCTGCCTAGTGTGGCATTGCATAACCTGCCTCAGTTTCCCTTTGTCTTGAATTTTCTTTAGCTCTCACACCTAAGCAGCAGCACAGATGGTATCCAGTACATAAGTAGCAAACTGCTTTTCTTCTGCCACATGCCATGTGCACAGCCTTATTCTTAGGTATCCAATTATCTATTTTCAACACAAATATAAATATGGGTGCTGAAGTTGCTGGTTGATTTCCTAGATTTGGATAAGGAGCAGGCCAGGTTAAGTTCTAGTGGTGTATATCTGATATTTATTACCTGTAATGTTAGATTCAAAGTGAAGCTAGCATTGCATTGACTATAAAATAGCAACGTCAGAGACAGTCTCTGAATGGGGCCATATCTGAAATCATCAGTCTGGCTTGCCAAAAGGTGTGGAAGGAGTTATTCTCACTGCTTACCATCACTACAGAAGAGCAGTTCACAAATGTAGAAGGCTGAAACCTCCTTGATGAGTGAGAGTTAGGGAGAAGTTGGAGTCAGGCCCTTGTAGAGGTGCATTGCACGTGAAAGAGGAGCAATAGAACTGAAATGGAACATGTTCACATTGACATAAGGAGAGGGGAAAAAAAATGAAAAATCCTTCCTGTGAAGGAGTTGACCAAGAAACCAAAGAAAATCTTCAGTCAGATGCTGATCAGGTGAGATCCATTGGCTCAACATTTCTCTGCCATTTTGAGTCATGTTTTCCCAGATGTGATGGGCAGATCTGAAGCATTTTCTTTAAAGCAGTTGTTTCTCAACGGAAGCAAAACAAATAGAGATCATAGGGAATTGATTTTGGTGTATTTTTTAAGAAATGGATGTTTTTCAGTCCTACGGTATCACAGCTCACTGAAATGTGATTGTTTGCAGTACTGCAGTGTGGTACTTTCAGAAGGTATTGCAGAGCCTTCATAAAATTTTATGAAAGTATTTGCTCTCTGCATTCAGCAGGATATATTTAACAAGTGAATCTTTCCCTCAGGGGGATCCCACACATTCACCTCAGAATTTAAGAACAGTTTATGGCATGGAAACCTAAAGTCATTTAATCAGGATCAAACCACAGGAATGTAAACAAATTATACAGGAGAATGAAGAAGGTACTTTTAGCAATCTGTGGGCGTAGCAGCTTAATCCAGTGAGAGTCATTTCATGTCCTCCATGGAAGACTTCAGAGTTGAGATGGTTATGGGGTGAGAAATGCTGCCCAGTAATGGACCTCTGGTCCCAGTGTCCCTCATACTTGTCTGTGGGGGGGGGAGAAGGGAGCTTGGCTGCTAATGGAAGTCAAAGTACTCAAAGCTCAGGGGTTGGAAATGACAGCTACATTGGCAAAGTGTCATAAATGAAGTGCAGGTTTTAACATGATGTTAGTATTTGATATTTGAGTTGTCTGTGACGTGGTTCCATCTGGTTTGTGGCCATGTTTTATGGAAAAGTAAAAAACCCACCTAAAAATGAGTTTGAGATAATAATTTTGAAGTTTTGTCTATTAAAACAGGCACAGGTAGATGCTATTGCTTAACGGCTCCTTTAGAGGGCAGCCCAGAAACTAGGGATAAGGATTGGAGAAGGTGATGAATTGAGGAAAAGAAGATGGCAAAATTATGTCTTCCTGCTCATCGAAATACTCTGAGATAGGATACAGGCAGAAGAAAAAGTTGGAGAGAATCAGGAACGTGGATTCTGCCTCATGGCAAGGCTTGGTACGATGAATAAAATCATTTTGCACATTCAAAGTTTAAGATTGGTTTTGTCTGATCCGGATAAGTAGTAAAGGCAGTCGTAAAGATCTGGTTTTGGGACATCTAAGTTGAGTTAAATGATATTGATTTTATAGTAGGAGCTTTGCCTATGTAAATAAACACAGAAGCACTTGAGAAGTACTTTGAAACTCTTTCCCTGAGGGCGACTGGTGGTTTCCCAGAGAATGGTTTTGCCTCTGGGACCCTTTGAAAGGAGATGGGTTTGTTGGACTGGACTGCTACAGGGCAGTGATATTCCAAACACATGAAAATTTTGTGTTTGTGCCCAATTTATACTGAGCATAATGCATCCTGGACTGTTGAAGGGGAG